CGAGACGTATAGCTTAATTAGGTTCCACGGGCGGGCCGCCGGCCAAGCGGCATGAAATAGGCCAAATTAAAAACCATTATACGCGACCGAACATGGCGTCCGCCCGCCGTCCCGGATTGGCCGCTCCGCTCTGCTCCGCCCCGAGTATCGCTTTGCATCCTGGAGTCAATGAGTCTCTCTCTCCGCGGCGGGTCCCCCATCCCATCGTGTACAGAATGCGTGTAAAACGCCCCGTTCCGTCTCGCCACAGCCAGGCAGGCCGGCGCGGGGAGGGCTGGCAAGGCATACCAACCGCGCGCGCACAACGGGAGCACACAAGTGCGCGCTTCTTGTTACTTTTTCACTGCGCCCAAGTTGGCAGCAGCGGCAGCCAGCGACGCGCCTTAATGCGATCGCCACGTCCCGATAAATACATATAAAAGTGCGCGCTTTTCTTTCGACGCCGCCGCAGAGCGACGCACAGCGCTGTGTCGCCGCGTCGCGTCCGTCCGCGGCATTGCGCTCAGCCATTACAGGGCATTATTGCCAAGATCTCTCTCTCTCTCTCTCTCTCTCTCTCTCTCTCTCTCTCTGTCTCTCTCTCTGTCTCTCTTTTTCTCTCTCTCTCTCTGTCTGGCGACACTAGAATCCATCTGGTAGACAAACCTTCGAAAAAACTATCGCGTAGAAAAGGAAGAAAAAAAAACACTGTCCCAGACCGTCGCCTGTCGGCTGGACGGGACGGCCGTCTGTATCAGATAAAGGACGACAATATTTTTCGCCGCACGACTCGGCTCGGCTCGGACGCGGCGATATAGGACCGACGCCACACGCCTGTCAAGATTCGGCTCTCGCCTAGGAGGGTTCCAATTAGCTCCATCGGAGAGAGCGAGAGAGAGAGACACACACACACGGAGACAATGAACACTCACTCACGCCGCACGGCCGCGAGGTCCGGCCCCGCCACGCCCCGCCTCCTTTTTGGCGATCGCCCCGGAGGGCCCGCATCACGTATAGGGCTACCGGCCCGTTATGTCCGAGTGAGCCGCGCCGAGCCCTCTCTCACGATGAGAGTTTCTCCCCCCCCCTTTTCCATCCCTCTCTCTCCCCGCCCGTTCGCCATAACCATAATCATATATAAGCCATAGCCGAAATGAGCCTGAATTAGCTCCAGCATCGGTCCGTAAGTGGCCCTCTCCGCTGGGCGAGGTGAGGAACGGGGTGGGAGGGGGGTTAGTCTTTCTCACTCTCCACTCCTCCGACCATCTCTTTCCCTCTCTGTCTCTCATTTTCCCGCGGCACCTTCAAATTCGACCTATCACCCTCCTCGCACGGCGGCCAGCGGTGTAACGCCGTGAAGGGCCCCTCTCCTCTCGCAGGTTCCCAGTGGTTGGCGAGCAAACAAAACGAAACGAAGACGGCCATCATCATCATAACAAACGAACAAACGAAAACGCCGGCCTGCGCGCAGTCGGGCCGGGGCGGGCGAGCGCCTGGCGGGGTAGGCAACGGCGGGGCGGGCGCGCGCCACGGGGCTGCCTACCCAGGCCGAGGCAGGGGCTCCCCGGCGGGAGGCCCGGCCGCTGCCAGCGCAGACTGCACTGCTGTCGCCGCACGCAGAGCAAGAGTGCGACGGGCGCGAGAACCATGGCGTGTTGGGGTAAAGCGGAGGAGAATGCGAGGCGCGATATGGAGCCGAGCATAGAGAGAAAGAGAGCGAGAGAGAGACAGAGAGGAAGCGCGGGCGGCGGAGTCGGTCGGTGCGCGGCGCGTGATTGGTGGAGCGTACAGACCCGCGGCGGGACTCGCGTCATTGGTCGCGACGGCCAAGATGGCGGCGCGCGGCCGGCTCGGCTCGGCCAGAGTCAGGAGGACCGCCAGCGCTCGGCCCGGCCTGCGCGCTCCGCTCGACTCGCATTATAATTAAGTTTCTGCCGGTCGGTCCGGCCGGCCGTGCCATTCAGAGACTCATAATGGCGTTATCTGTATTCGGCGCGCGTACCCTTCGCAGCCCCTTCCCCCCTTCCCCCGGCTCCCCCCACAAACCTCTAGGCTCACCGCTCACCCGCCGCTAAATTGAATAGCACGCTTGTCACTGGCGGGGCTGCATCCGGACGCACCCAAAGACAGACGGACAGACAGACAGACAGACAGACAGACAGACAGACAGACAGACAGACAGACAGACAGACAGACATACAGACGGAAAAACAGACAGCGACACGCACACACTCGGGGAGCGCCGGCCGGCCCGTCCCTTCTCTAGTGCAACGCGCAGGGTCACGTCCGTATATGCATTCCGAATGCACACGCATGCAGCGCCTCTGCCCAGCGGCCCACCGCCCGAGCCCCGCCAACCTCACGGATGGTATTAATCCTCACGCAGCGCTTCGCACTTTGCTGAGATAGGAGAGAAAATATTACCTTAAGTTACGGCCGTTCTTTCAGTTAATTTTTTAAGACATGGAATTGATTTATTTTGATAGAAACTTCCCCAAACATAAAGATAGCAAACATTGTCGCCAAAAAAGGGGTAAGAATAAAAAAGGTGTCTGGCGACAAGAGTCATTCAGGAGGCCTCTCCGCGCAACTCTTTGAAAAGAGGAGAAATAAAAAGAATGGCCGTAGTCCTGTCGGGAGCAGCAGACGACGCAACAACTTTCACCATAAAAGCGACCGCACCTGCCAGAAATCTGCTGCTAGAGCCCCTCGGCTCCAGCGACACGGAGGGGGGGGGGGGTAGGTGAGCGGCAGCAGAGCAACACTTCTCGTGTCTCTGAATTATTCATTCCCCGACGCTTGCGATAAGGAGACGTATTTGCCTAAACGACAGCGGCAGCCCCGAGTCCTCCGCCGCAGCTCCGGCTCCGGGTGAGGACCTAAACCGGAAACGGAGTCTCCGGTGACGTCGCGGCCGGTGGAAGTGGAAACGCGCGCGGGGCGTGGCGGGGCGGGCG